TTTTTCAGCAAGCGGGACTGACCTAGGGTGAATTTTAAATAGGGAAAATTTTTAATGATTTTAATAATGACACAGCTATAAATATTTGGTTTTTAATTGGCTTTTATAGGGGAAATGTTTTTGTGTTGTTTTAACATGCTGTGAGCCGCCCTGAGTCCCGTGGGGAGAAGGGCGGCATATAAGTTAATGAAATAAATAATAAATAAATAAATAAATTTTTGTAGGCTGTATTTACAGTAAAAGCATCTGATAAACTGAGCACATTCTGAGAAACTGGAATAGAAGAAATTTAGTTATTCCTTCCAAAATGTGTCACATTCCTATTTTTACAAATGCAGAATTGGTGAAAAGTAGACTAAAAATTGGAAACTAGATTTAGCACCCAGTTAAAGTCTATTTTGCCAGTTAGACCTAGGATATCACAGATGGGACATTGTTTTTGATGGAGCTATTAATAGTGACTCCCTGTGAAGAGGCTAAATTCCACTATAAAACTGGGGATAAGTATTAGAGGGAGAGAAAAACAAAAGAGAAGAATGAAGGAGGAACAATAAGACCCGTTTCCCTAAAAGAGGTCCAGATGATCACTCTCCAGACATCCGCTCTGCAATGGATATATCCTGAAACCTAAGACCTTATTTTAGTAAGTAGTAATTAGTTTTTCAGTTGAGTGGTATGGTGGCCTAGTGCTGAAGACACTCACCTCCCACTTGGAAGGTGAGAGTTCAATTTAGGTAGCGGCAGATATTTCTCTCCTAGATGCTAAGAAAAAATATCTACTGTGAACTCCATATGATATCAGGAAGGGCATCTGACCAGTAAATGCGTAACTCCATCCAGTCACCCCAACTTTACCAGGTCTTAAAAGGGAGGGGTTTTTTTTAAAATAGTCCTTCAATGGGCTACTTGTATTGGGTTTATATAAATGAGGTTTATTTGGACTATATGTGTGTTGCCGTCACTTATTTTCCATATGCTACATTTTTAATAGCTTTATTTTATAGATTTGGCATGAGTAATTTTTAAGGGAATTTTTCATTAAAACATTCCGCACATGTAAGACTACAGAGTTACATAGATTCAGGATTGGCACAAAACTGGGTTAAATTTAGTTTTTCTGGACATTGGCTAGAAAAAAAATCTTTTTTTCCCCCCTAGACCTGGGATCAAGAGTAAGAGGTTAAGAACTTCCCAGTTGGGCAGACTGACAAATTCAGAAGGTTTAGCTTGACTAATGGCAGGCTATCATTGTTATCATTTATTGGGGAACTTTGGGAGAAAGGTTTAAAATTATCCAACTTTCTGATTTGTAGATTTCAGATTTATGTCTCATGAAGTAGGAATTATTGAAATTTGACAAAATGGAAAATTACCTGTGTCCTAGACTAGAGCACTGTGTCTCAAGCTTAGCAATTTTTAAAATAGGTGGATTTAAACTCCCAGAATTCCACAGCCAAGATGCTGGAAGTTCAAGTCTACTCATCTTAAAGTTGCCAAAGTTAAGAAACATTGTCCTAGAATACTTCCAGATGGACTGATCAAAAGCATTATGTAGTTGTTCTATTTTACTGAATGTATTTTCTTTTCTGGGAAGAAAAACAAACCACTGATAAAAAAAAGAAGACATATAATTGAAGAAAAATGCTGACAAAATAAAGATGTCCAGAAGTGTTGATCATTTCAGGAAACAATGTATATACTGCTCAAAAGATACAAAGCCACTGTAATTTTTAGATCTTTTTTTAACCATTGGTGGTAGGACCCTATGAAAACATCGCATCCCCAAGATTATTTTAAATGCAACACTGTATCGTGTCATTATTTAAAATATTAAAAAGAGAATTCTGACTGCTTGCAGCCCAGCAGCTACAAAAATAATCTATTTGAACTTTCTGGTTTTTCAGCTTCTCTGCACAGAGCAATAAATTATTAGTGAAAAAGTTGGATTTCCTGTCAGCAAGCAAGTGAATATTACGTTATGAGTTTATAGGGATAATATACACTTCCTTATCAACATCTCTAGAAAGAAAGTTGGAATTACATCATGATCCCACTGCCCAGGGCAGCCTATTTCATTATACATTCCTTAGATATATGCTTTACTTACCATCTGGAGGCAGTGTACATGTTTTGTCCTGCTGCACTCTAGTAATTATATTCCTTTTCCATTTCTCTTTCAGCAATCCATTGTATGGAAAAGAGCCTTCTTTGTGATTGGCTTCTCAGCATGTTCTCTTTTAAGCTGCAAACATTTTGGCCTTCCAGGATCTGGAGGACTCTGTGTCATTGTTTTGTCATTTCTGGCTGGAATGGCATGTTCTGATGAAAAGGTGAGAATTCTCTTACCACGCATCAAAGTCCCGGTTCTGATTGCAAAAAATAGATATCACTAATTTTTAACACAACTGATTAGTCTTAGTTTGGGACAAAGGTACTGTAGGTAATGTGATGCCCATGTGTATCAGTATGGGGATGGAGGTATATTTCTTCAGATTCTTACAGTTAAAAAACTGAATGGAAGTTTCCTAGGAGTTTGCCAACCCCATATTTGCAGGAATCCCTTTGGGGATCATGTAGGAGTCATAGTTATACTGAGAAAATAACTGTGATAGGTGGCCTAGCCCAGTGCTTTGTTGTGATGGATGCAGAAAAAAAAGATAAAAGAGAGCAAATTTACAATTTGCCTTCTAGTAAACACAAACACTTGTGACTGATCATGCCTTCTGTGGAAGCTGTTTTGTGTTAGCAAAACTTCCAAATGTGTGTATACTCCAAAAATTGGGATTAAAGCAAAGTTGCCTTCTACTTATTTTGATATTAACTCTTGTAGGATCTTGGGCAGGTAAATGTCTCACATTAAATGACATACAGCACACAAATAATTTTGTTAATCCAACTTTATTGGTTACTGTACATTATAGCGAGGGTTCGCTAACGTATACACACAGACCATTCTCACTCATTCTCCAAGTTTTACCAGAGTAGCTGCTCAATAAAGGGACTGGAAAAGATGAATTGAAGACAAGGCTAAATGGAAGTTAGGTAGGTTTAATGACAACAGCGAAAGACCTAAAAGCCAAGTTAAGAGAAAATCATTTGGAGAAAATCTATCCATATAATTCTAGGAAGTGACACATGATTTGATAGCAATCGAACAATTTCTCTTTTTATTGATTTAGACCAAATACGTACTGTCAGTTTATTTCATGGCACACACACATTTTATTCACTATCTTATTTAATCTTCAAACAATTTCAGCATTTTTATTTGAATTGATAAAGAATGACAAGTCAGGTAACAGTCATAAAGATTTTTTTGGATATTGGTTTTGCTGCCAGAACAACCTATCTTGCTTCAACTTTCAATAACAGGCATACAATTACTGTGGAGATTAACAATTTTATTTCAAGCCTGAAGAGATGAAACAGTGACCAAAAATGTAATCAAACCAGAAACTTGCCTGAAATTTGCTTTAGTAGAAGAACTCAGAAGAATAGTCCAAATCCATTACAGGGTTCTGAGAACCAGATCAGGCAGTTTAGAAGTCAGAGGTTCAAGATTTCTTATACAAAAAGGATTCACCGGAACATCACACAAGACTCCCCCTTGTCTCCATATAAAAACAGTTGAAACCATTTGCTATAATAAGGCAAGGCAGGGGTTTTTTTCTCTTAGAAGTGAGGTTTTAGTTTTTCATTTTCTTTAGCTGTCCAACTCAACTAAGTAACTCTGGATGGTTTACAATTCTAAAATTATAAAACAAAACAAATTAAAAACATTAAAAATATCCACAAAATAAGTAAGTACAAATAGCAGCTGTGATGATCAATAAACTAATTATAAAGCCAAGTATCAGGGCCCTTAATACAGTCTGAGCCCCAGGCCCTGGTACACAGCCAAGTTTTTAAAGGTTTCCAAAAAGCCAACAAAGTTGGGAACCATTTTAATTTCTGACAGCAGAATATTGCATAAGGCAGGGCTACAGCAGGAAAAAGAAATTTGCAGCACTGGCTGGCTGGATACTTGATGTAGATGGAGTCATTATTTGTTAAAATTGGAGAATTCCGAATTGAAATACAGTATATTTAATTAAAAATAAAGGCAATCTATTTCAAACATTAACTTTGGCCTTTGAAATATTGAAATATTTTTCTAGTGCTAAATTACATTCTTGTTAATTACATAATGGTTGCTTTCAGTCCTTGAAGGATGATGGTACTTCTTCACAATTAATGGCAGAATCCAATTTCTAGTGTTAGAAAAAGGAAAGTAGTATCTTGCTTGGACAAATTAATTTTAAGATATGCAACTCTGCTGCACAAGTACCATCGACACTTGTTGATGTAAAACTTATGTCTTGTAGAAAGCAGTGCAAGATGTTGTTACTTTTGCATGGCAAGTGTTCCAACCATTTCTATTTGGACTAATTGGAGCTGAAATCTGCATTACCGATATTGGATTTGAAACTGTTGGTAAGTTTGCAAAGAAGAGCTATAGCATTCTGAAATATTGTGCCTGGCTTCCTTATGAGAATGAGAATCTTAGTCAGAATTGATTGCATTATAGAACACAGTGGGCCATGAATCATGATTTAAAATTATATTATGGTTTATAGCAATGTATAAACTAGCAGTTGAATGCCTCTTCCAAATTAAAACATGCTTATATTTCTCCATGCAGCCAACATATAATTTTTTTTTAAAATGTTATTGGTCATGCAACTAAAATTCTGTTTATACACACTCTTGCATTCAGATGAATAACCATTTATGATTATATATAATGAAATAGTTTTCCAAGACAGTTATAAAATGCCTGAAAAGTTACAACTTAGTATTATTATGCCAGAATCTTATTTTTGCATTACTGTGAAAGCAAGAGACCTTGTTTGCAGAAGAGATCTGTACATCTCAACAAAATTCTCCTATTCCCTTATAAAGACGATGTTCAGTAATTATTGCTTTTGGGGGAGATCTAGGCATTTGCTCCTGATCAATTGGGAGTCATGGCTACAAATAAAATATCCTATTTTTAAAAAAACACTAATTTTTGATAACGAGCTAATTAATAAACAAATACAGCCATAGCTAATTGGTTTCATAAAATGTACTGGCTCCATCTGAAAAATATTTAGCTATATTTTATCGATCAAGATTGTCATTGCCTGGCATTTGCTCTTACAAATATTATCCCAGTCCAAGTGGAACAATTAAGTATTGATCTGTTACAGGGTTTTGTTTGGCCACTATGTTTTTGGCTTTAGCGGTTCGAATTCTGGCTACGTTTTTGTTGGTGTCTGGCTCTGGTTTTCATTGGAAGGAAAAGTTATTTATTGCACTGGCATGGATCCCCAAAGCAACTGTCCAGGTAGAGTATTTTTGTATATTTGACCTGAACCTTATGTAAATAAGGGAGTTGCATTAATGAAGACATGTAAATACCTGTATATTTAACACCAAATGGGTAGAGTGAGGTGGTGGGAAGAGACAAAATATGAGAATGGCTCTCTTCTATTCAGAAGCACCGAGTCCTGACTGATGATGAAATTTTAAAAGCCTATATAGGCCTTCAATTGATTTTGACACTAAAGTCAGAATAGATCATTTACTATATGATCTATTCAGTAACCCAGTAACCCCTGGGTTACTGCAACCCATGGCAGACCCTTCTCAACCATGGGAAGAAATAGCTATCGGCTTTATAGTAGACCTACCTGAAAGTAGTGGAAATACTGTCATCTGGACTGTAATAGACCTGTTCTAGAAGCAGGCTCATTTCATCACCTGCAAAGGATTCCCATCTGCCCAACGACTGACCAAATTGTTCCTGAAACATATCTACCGGCTGCATGGCGCCCCTAAGCGAATAATTTCGGACAGGGAGGTGCAGTTCACAGCGAAGTTTTGGAGACGTTTCCTTACATTAATTGGATCATCTCAAGGTTTATCATCTGCTTTTCATCCAGCCACCAATGGGGCCGCAGAAGCCGCTAACAAAATGGTGGAGCAATATCTTAGATGCTACGTTTCTTACCAACAGACGAACTGGACTGATCTCCTCCCTTTTTCGGAGGTGGCGTACAATAATTCTGTGCACAGCAGCACCGGCTACACGCCTTTCAGAGTGTAGAACTTCCAGGCATGTTTATCCTAAAGCCTTTATTAACAGTGTTACAAATTGACGGCACATCATGGAGGTTTATGCCAGAATCTGAATTTCTCTTGCTTGCGTCTAACTTTTCTTTCTAAACCCCTCCCTTATTTTGCAGTCATAAGTCACATCTTCCAATTAGCCCAGAGGGCAAAGATTCACTTCCATTCCTTTTTCCCGGGCTTTTCCCTCCTCCCTCCTCTGCTCTGCATTAACTCTAAAAATACCAGACAGTTTTGCATATTTTGTCAAAGCAAGAATATACAGTATTTGCAGCGTTGACAATATGTTTCTCCAAATGTTGCTGAACTAAACTTCTACCATACCTCTGGCTATGCTGGTTACAAAACGATTCAATAAGATTTGGAGGGCCACCCACTGCCCACCCCAGATCTCCAAAGTAGTGAAAAGTTCTTATCTTGGATTGAAAATGACAGATTTTCCATGCCTGGGATTCTCTGGCAGCACTGCAATGTGTATATATGTTGTGAATGCTGTTTGTAAAGAAAATGGTCTACAGAGAACTCATTGGTATGTGTCAACCTGCTGTCTTTTGGTATGTTTTCTGCCCAGCCACAATAAATTCCCCAGCCCTGCTTTGGGATCAAATATTTCTTTGCATCTGTTTTAATATAGAGGTCTTCCTTTTGAATGCCTGCACATGAGTTAGGTAAGGCAGACTGGTATCGAGATTATGGCAAGGACATTCTTGGGAAACTTCACATAGACTGTTTGCTACATGTTTTAGATCACCTATGACAACAGTTATTTCTTCTAATGCTTACTATTTGCAACAGTTAATCCTTTACTCCTTTAGGGTGTTTTATAGCATTTTATGGGTTTTTTTAATGCAAATATGAGAATCACATTATTTGTCTATCATTTTTAGCTGTTTATCAATGCTATTAAGAAAGTATATTTAAATACAAACGCATTAATACATTTTATCCACAGTACTGCTTAGAAAAGGAAATTCACAAAAATATAAACATTCAATTTCAAGGAAATTAATTTATCATGCAGTACTGATGAGAGGAAAGTGACATAGCCTTTGAACTGGAAAGCAATAACAGAGAAGCAGTTACAACCTTCAGTCCTAGGTATAGACAAGAAGAATTAAAAATAGTCTTGGTTATGAGATAGATGGTTAATGCTCTTTTCACTATGATCAATAAACAGTATTATGACTCTTTCTACTCAAAACTGAGGTTTTATACACATTTATTTGGAATAAGTACCATTGATCTCAGTAGTTTAAGATTTCTGAGTAGACCTAAAAACCCAAGAAGTTCCAAAGCCTCCTTTAGCCAATCAAATTTTTTGGGAGACTCCCAAGTAGATTTAAACATCCTCAAAAGGTATTCACATAAGGCATTTCAGAGTTTGATATAATCATTATGAACTTTAGATAATTGGGTTTTTTTGCAAAAAAATAATACAGTATGCTTTTAAGAATATATAATTGTGCCCATAGGGTAAGAGCACTAACTGATCACTCTTATTTTTTTTCAAATAAAGACATGTCTATTATGGTTTTTTTGATTTTATAACTGAGGCGGCCAGAAATACAATATACTTCTCAGGAGTAACTACACTGGTCTGAAACCTAACATGTATAAGATATTCCTTTGTGTTGAAGCATCAGAATACTCAGTTTATTTGGGGTGTTTCACATCTAAAATGATGCCATGCTGCATGTTTCCAAATACTGTTAATGAGTAGAGAATACCCTCTGAAACAATATTTTCCAATTTGGATGCCCTCCAAATGCGTGGGGTTTAATTCCTAAAATTCTCAGAAATGGCCATGCTGCTTGGCAAATTATGGAAGTCAAAGCACACACAAAGGGATACTCCAATTGTGAAATGCTGTGCTAGAATAATACTGTATAGAAGACAAATAACAAGCAATGAGACATTGTCTGAGAAAAATCTTAACCGAGCAAACATGATTTGAGGCATGTGTCTCCAAATAGGAGAACTTTGAGGGATGTGGCTGACTGCAAATAGAAAAGAAAAAAGGAAAGTTATCCCATAAACTTAAGGTACAATGGACGAACCTGCTTTATTAATTGTGCTGATCTATTTTGTCTAGGTTTTTGTTAGCACAATAGGTGAACTAAAAAATTGTGAGTTCTCTTTATGGCATAATGTGATGTTTGAATCTTAACAACTGTGCTTTATTCAATCAATCATGGCTATAGAAACCATGATTTAGTGCAATATATGAACTCAGATCAGTGACTTTTTAAAAAAATCTGTCTGCAGGCTGCAATTGGTTCTACTGCCTTAGATACAGCACGAGAATATAAGGATAAAAAGCTAGAAAAATATGGCATGTACATCGTGACAATAGCTTTCCTTGCAATCTTGATCACAGCTCCTGCTGGAGCTGTGATAATTAGACTGGCTGGACCTAGACTTCTCCGCAAGACTACCAAAGGCAATGAAGATGCCCTAGCAATAGACAGTTTTTCATCAGAAGAGACAACTTAGACATTGTTTTAAATTCAGATTTAACTCTCTGATGTTTGAGATGAAACCAAAAAGAAATGGAAGTATAATTATGGATCAAATTAAACGTTTATTCCTAGTGTGAGCAATAATGAAATCATAGTACTACATGATGCTTTGTTTTCAAACCTGTGATCAACCCTGTATTTTATATAATAAAAATATACTGTATTCTCTCAGCATTTCTGGCTGCTAACTATGGGCTCTCCTAGTGGATAAAAAAAAAAAATCAATTTCAAAACAGAAGACTTGGATCTTAAATTTGATTTCCCAAACAAAATAAGTAGCATTCTTGGCACTGGATTTTCTTGTTGTGTATTTCATTTATCAGTCTCCCAGAACTCTTGAAGCTGTTTTGGTAGTTTGATAAAGTTTAGTTAGCACTGAAGGTGGCATTTGTTGCAATTGTTCTCTCCTTCAAAGGAAAGGAAAACTACCTTCGGACCTTTTTTATGAGATAACTCACAACTCAGTTCTGCATAGTTCTGCATTATTATGTATCAGCTGAAAAGTACCTGATTTCCTCTTATGTTGGAGGAGAACATTTTCAGTGATAGTAAAAACCATAGTATGTAACGAGCTCATTTTTTCCTCACATAGATATATCAGATCAGTGTTTTTCAACCTTGGCAATTTAAAAATGTGTGGAACGGCTGAGGAGTTGGTCCATATTTATTTACCTTATTTGTCATTTTGTAACTTGCTGAAATTTCATCCAGTTCATAGTTCATATCATTTTCCAGTATCATACATTTCAAGAAAGATACTTGGTCTCCATGACCAGAAATAGAAAAAATGCAAACTTTGCTTCTTAAAAAACAAAGTGATCATAAAAAAGAATACACAGTTGTATTATTTTCCTTAAGTAGAAATGCATTTTTTTCTCTAGAAAAAAACTGATAATAAGCATACTATATCTACATTTCTAGCAACAGTTCATCCATGGTTAAGTATACAGAAAAGGGACTTACAGAATTAATGGAAATATTTGGGAGGCCAGATGCAGAATTTAAGTTTTACAAACAGCCCTTCACCATAGATAGAGAACTAAGAAAGTAAACTGCTTTGTTAGAAAACTGGATTTTGTTCATGGAGAAATCCCTGAGATTCAGGGGGATGGAGAAAAGGAATCTTATTTTTAATTTGACTGTGGATTGGAAAATATGGATTGGAATATAGCATAAGAGGATTATGTGAAGAATGCTATACTATGTGTCATGAACTAATTGGTTTGAGGGGAACAGCAGGTTTAGTAGCAAATAGGCTAATTACTGTAGTTCATACAGCCAGTCATTACTCAACATCATGTATTGTGCCAATAAAATAGGCAGACTGAACTCTTCTATATTTTGAAATATCAATATATTATGCTGTCATTTCTAAATCACAAACAAGCCAATTATATACAATCTGTATCACTTCTGAAAAGCAAAAAACACTCTGCTCCATCCTTAAGGAAGAAACCGGAGGTGCAGAGCAGGATTGCTCTCAAGAAGCAGTGATTCACTGCTTTTACATCACCCCATTTTCTCCCAAAAGGAGCTCCCTATCTCCCCAAGGTTTCCGTTCAGATAAAAAGTGTTTGAGCGGCAGCAGCTTGAGTTTCTCTTTTCTGCCTGAAAGGAAGAAACTGGAGGTGCAGAGCAGGATTGATCTCAATAAGGCCGGCGCATGCGAGCAAGCAGCACACCCGCATCTTCTTGAGGACAATCCTGCTCTGCGCCTCCGGTTTCTTCCTTAAGGATGGAGCAGAGAAACTCAAGTCACTGCCACTCAAACACTTTTTATCCGGAGGGAGACCTTGGGGAGATGGGGAGCTCCTTCTGTGTGCAAATGCAACGCTTGAAAACGCAGCAAATTTGCTTTGTTTTGAACCGCCCAATTTGCTCACAGAGGGAGAATCCAATTTCCCAAGGTTTCCCTTCTGATAAAAAGTTAATGAGCGGCAGTGGCTTGGGTTTCTCAGCTCCATCTGAGTGGAGGAAAGCAGAGGGGCAGCAGCGGGATTGCTCTCAATAAGGCCGGCGCATGTAAGCAAGCAGCACACCAGGGTCTTATTGTTTGAGAGCAATCCTGTTGCTACACCTCTGCTTTCTTACACTCGGACAGAGCTGAGAAACCCAAGCTGCTTCCACCACTTGAGTAAAGAGGACAAGAAGGAAGAGAAGAGTGGTGAGGGTTTGTGCCAACCGGCCGGCCAGACGAGTATGTTGGGCAAGGTGGATGACTGGCTGGGGAGAGGGGTCGTGGCCACTCAGGTGGTTGCCACTGCTGCAGGCTTGGATGCGGGTGTCAGGGACCTGGACCTACGATGCCTCCCTGCTCAGTTGAAGGCTTCGTTCCTGGCCTCAAACTAAGGCTGGCGCACACAAGTGAGGCAATCAGCTGGGCCATGGACGACTCTATGCTTTGCCCCATAGGTGTGCAAACGAAGCAAACACTCCTCCGCCAGAGAATGGAAGCTTCCAGGAGCCATGATCTCTTTTGCAGAGAATGGGTGTTTGAACTCGCACAATATTACGGCACCCAGGAGCTTCCATTGTCAGCGGGAAAAGCATTTCCAAGCCAACTCTCCTCTCCCTCAAAGGAAAAGATACAGCAGCAGAGAGCAGACATATTTTTGCAAGGTGAGTCCTGCACAACAGGAAGGGAAGGGTAAGCAGTTGTGAGGAGTGGGGGAGGGAATAGGGCGAATGTTGCAGAGCCTCTGCAGTCACTTGTAAGGGTGAACGACTGCTGTGGTGCTGCAATATTTTAATTTTGGGACTTGCTCATAAACACTAGGGGGCGCTGATCATGTAAATTTGAATGAGTGTTGAGTGAATGCTCGTTACTCGGGGATTACCTGCAGCCTAATAGAGCCTGCCCAATAGGCTCATAATCAACAAATGAATCAGACTCAATATTACAACATTTTAAAATCAAACTCATTAATTGAATCAAATGGGTATCATAAGAGACAAATATGACCATAAGTAAAAGGGTACCATAAATAAATAACTTCAAAAAAATAACTGTGTTAAAGTGCTGGCGTCTTCAGTACACTGCCTTAGTGTGATATAGGTCCTCAGTGTTGATTTCATTTACTACGTTGGGATTCTCCTTCTGGATCTTGAGATTAATCAAGTCCTGCTGTTTCTTCTTTGGAAGAAATGGGTGAATAGCAAGATATCTGAGTATAGCAAGGACACCCAGGAAAGGCAATAATCGTAGCCATTCTGAAACTAAGCATATGCCACAAGCATATTATAGAGCAATATTCTGCAGCAACTAATTTCAACCTCACCCTTCATTACCAAGTACTTTTATTCTAAGAATAGATTACAAACCCATGTAGCAATTACTAAAAGTACTTACACTAGCCTTATAACATGTATGTAATTTGCAGTACTGAGTACAAAACAGTGACACCCAGTAAAAAAAAACAAGAAGGCTGTGATAACAGGAAGCCTTGCTGTTATGGCCACTCTATGGATTATTTGTAATGTGCATTTATTATTTTGTTAAGTCATCCACTTATTAGTTTTTCTTTCCTAGATGGGTTTACATAATAAAAGAACACATTAGGTTTAAATGCATTGGGGAATTTGAGGTTGCACATGTTAGAGCAGGGCTTCCCAACCAGGGGTGCGAGATGATATTCCAGAGAGTGCAAAAATTTGGGTTTTCAAAATTATAGAGTATATGCATAATTTGTTGCTGTTATTTCGAACTTTTGTAAGGGGTGCGAGGTATCAGAAAAGGTTGGGAGCCACTGTGTTAGAACAAATATCGTGTTTTCCCAAAAGTAAGACCTACTCCAAAAATAAGCCCTAGCTTGATTTTTGGGGGTGGACCTAATATAAGCCCTATCCTCAAAATAAGTCTAGTTTTGGGGCGAGGCGCACACCTAAAAATCAAGCTAGGGTGGGGGTGGAGTTGCCTCACGCCTGCTTACCATTATAGACAGGCCTCCCATCAATCGACACCTGCCTCATCTCGCCAGCCCACTTCTTCTGCGGCATCCCCCTGCCTATATTTTGCTGTCAGAGGCCTTCCAGAAAGGCCTCTGCAGCCGAGAACCAAGCTACGGATTCAATTCGTGGCTCGGTTCTCAGCTGCATAGGCATTTCTGGAAGGCCTCTGATGACAAAATGCAGGCCGGAGCTCCATTCTCAGCTTCAGAGGAATTTCCTTTAGCTGCAGAAGTGGGCCAGCTGGGCAGGGTTGTCGGTGCCACCACGGCAAGATGAGACTGTGGAAAAGACCCCCCCCCCCCCAAAAAATAAGACTTGTTGCCTCTTTTTGAAACCAAAAATATATATATAATAAGACCGGGTTTTATTTTTGGGAAAACACAGTACATCCTAGCCTGTTATGTTAAGCAGACTATCCTGTTAAACCATACCAACGTTTGATCTTCTATTCTGATGTAACTTTAATAAATTTTAATCACCATTACAGCCAGTACGTGTTGTTTAATACTGATCTGTTGTTTTTCTTCTCTCCCCCAATTTAGAGAGTGGAGAGACAGGAGTGGAAGGGATTACAAGAGAGTAAACTACATAGTGGGGAGTACACTGGGATGTTTTCATAGCATGCTTATGGCTATTGGTACCAGTGCATTGCTTTCAATGTATATTCCCCATTGTATGATTGTTTATTCGCATGTAATCTCTTCCTCTCCAATGAATACATATACAAACATTAATTCCCTTCTTGTTAATTTTCCCAGGATTAGCACTCCAAAGGATATGGGGAGTGGTTAGGAGGAAACAAAAATGAATGTGTGAAACAGATTAATCTTATCGTTTAATTATAAAGGTGCTGGTCCCAACTGTGGTCACTAAACAAGAATTACCTGTGCTTCTAAAACAGCATTTTGAATGGACACAGATATTTCCCTCTGCCAGGCAGTCATGTATCCTCTGCGGAGAACAGATACAGATTGCAGAATGATACCACCAATTTTAGTATACCAGTATAAAAAGCAGAGTCATTTA